TGGTGTCAAGCCTATTTCTAACATGGTGGTGGAGGAGTACCAATAGGTGATGAAGGGTCTTGGGAGGCCTGAGAGGAGCAGGGGAAGCTCAAAGTAAATGAAAAATGGTGGGGCACTATAAGAAGTGATGAAAGGAACCATTTCAGAGAGACCTGAGAAGGCCTGTATGAACTGAAGCTGAGGGAAATGAACAGTCAGCAGAATAATTTACACAGTGACAATATTGTGAAGACAAACAACTCTGAAACCTTGAAATTGAACCAGTGACCAAGCACAATTTCAGATGGCTGATTATGAAGCTGAGTGCCTCCTGACAGAGAGGTGATGGCCTCAAGATGCAGAAGGAGACATCCATTTTTGGCTATGGCCAATGTGGAATTTGTTTTGTTTGACCATGTATATTTGTTACATGGGTTTTCTTTTTTTCATTTTTTAAAAAATGTGGATATGAGAAAGTTGGGAGAGAGAAAATAATTGAAAAAAATTTTTTTCTGAAAAGTATCATGGCCTATCTCTTCCCAGTAAGGTGATTTGAGCAAGAAAAAAAAATCTGTAAATAACAGTCCTTTCTCCTGTCCCCTCCCTTATTTCAGATGCATACAATAGATGCCCATTTCTGAGTCCTTTTTACTCTGCACTGAGTCTTATTAGTGTGTGTATGTGTGTGTTTGACCCCAAAAGAATTTTAAAAAATAAACTGATATGGGGTTCCTGATAAGGGAGGAATATTGGACTCTGTTTCACCCCCCAATGCACCACACTGTTTCTTTTGTGTCTGTGTTATTCTTTCCTGAGGTTAGGTGAATAAGAATCAAAGACAGAATAGATTAGATTATGACCTTGAGAAGTCTAAAAGGTCAGATGAGCCACAAAAGATGCCCTCAGAAACTTGGAGCCCATAGCATAGCCAAGTCCAAGGAGAAAAGTCAGGCCTCAGGAATGACCTGCTTGATTCATCTCAGCAATCTGTCAAGTCCTGAAATAAATCAGTCGTGAGTTGAGGAATAGATTGTAGTTATTCAAGATAACAGGGTAGTAAACCTGATACCCTGGGAGATGTCCCATGTGTGCAGAGTACGATGGATTTCCTAACCAAGAGACCTATGAAAAGGCTTTATGTCTTTAGGAAGGGAGAGGAGGTAGTATTGATGGGGTAAAGGGATCTGGACACCTAAAAGGGGTCTTTGAAAGCAACCCAGTCCCTGAATTTTCCCATCCATTTCATCAGGGAGGCTTGTAAGGACATTACTGGAATTCTGACATTGCTAGCATGATTAAGAGTTGTGGCAGTCCACATCACATTTGATATTCACAATTTTCTGTCATTATCTTAACGATTATCTTCACAGTTTTCTGTCAAATGAGATCTAGTGTCCAGCAAAAACAAAGCCACATGCAGGGAGTGAACTTGGTGGGGACTCCGGGGAGAAAAAGCCAACTCTGAATTATAATCATAGCTAGTATTTACATAAAGCTTGAAGGTTTGAAAATGCTTAATGTATGTTATTTTATTTGAGCCTCACAACAACCCTGTGAGGTAGGTGCAACTATTTATCCCCATTTTATAATTGGGGAAACTGAGGCAAACAGCTTAAGTGACTTGCTCAAGGTCATACAGCTACACAGTGAATAAGTATCAGAAGTAGGATTTTTCTGCACTCCCAGCCTAACTACCTACTATGCTACTAAAGTCCAGAAAAAGGGGAGGGAGGGACAGTGGCCCAGAGCAGCCAGAGCCAGATCTAGGACACTGCAAGTGTTCGCCTCCATTAGTATGTATACTGAGGCAATCAATTAGCATTCTCTGCAAGGTTAAGAAAGCCTTGATGGCTTACATTCTGATGGAGGAAGACAACACTTAAAGGGAACTGAAAACGAGGTAGGGAGAGAGAAGGTACCTGTTGGGGGCATGTGCCAAAATTTGTGTAAGAATGTAAGCTTGGCCAGTATAATGGAGGTGTGTCTCAGGCAGAGAAGGCAACTGAGTCACGATGCTAAAAGGAAGTGGGGGAAAGAAGCTTAAAGGGGCAAGTGGCCAGAGCAAACTTGATTCTTGGCCTTACTTTTCTTGAGCCTATGGAGTTTCAAGCCTTGTTGGGAAAAGTTATGACCCACATAAACTGAGTCTTTTTTGAGAATGAAAAATGGAAGGAGTAAACTGCATTGAGCAGTATTTCTGATTCCAAACTCTGGGGAACTTCCCCTTCAGTGGGATCTAGGATTCTCTTTTATTGAGTCAAGTTGCTTCATTCCCAGTGGGAAAGCTCCTCCACTCTATAGTGTCTGGTACAAAATATATTTTTCTATGTATACTTTCTCAGATTTCTGTTTTGCTATTGACTGAGATAAATGGTTTCTTTTGCCAAAAAAACAAAAAACAAGTGAGTAGGCTGTTCAGCCAAGAGAAGAATGGGATGAGGCTGATTGGGATTCCCAACTAATTTGGAAAAGAGGTGTGGTGTCAGGCCAGGAATTCTGCAGGAGGAAGGTGGGGGATGTCTCTTACTCAACTAAGTATTATAATCAGGGACCCCCTTTCTAGACCCTGTCTGTGGGTGGTGGTTCTAGACCTCCTTTGCATAAACTTAATCCTTCTTTTGGTCTGGAGGTAAGATAAGAAAGCATCAGAAAATCCCACAGCCTCAATCAACACTGGGTGGATGGGAGTGGGGGTGGGAAGGCAGGAGGTAATACCTATGAGTCAATGCAGACTCAGAGACTCCAAGGCAGAATGACTCCATCTCAGCAGGTGTACTCTCCACTTCCTCCCAAGGTTTTCTGCCCCTGTTCTGTTATTTTTATCCTTTTTTATCTCCTCTCTTTGGTGGAAAGGGGAGAGATCGAGAGGCAGCGTTGTTAAATAAGTGAGCACAGAGTTAACTCCCTCAGCTTCTCTCTAGTTGTTCTTAATTTAAGCCTTTTGTGTCATGGACCCCCTTTGGCAGTATGATGAAGCCCATAGATTCCTTTTCAGAATAATGTTTTTAAATAATTGAAGGAAATAACCAAATTTCAGTTAGAAGTTAATGAAATTAGTGATGTCTTTTTTTCTCATCCAAATTCATAGATTTCCTTGAAATCTGCCCATCAACCTAGATTAAGAACTCTTGTTCTACTCTGTCATCTTCCAAGAAGTCTTCCATACACATCTTTAAAGCTAGAGAGATGTCCTCCCTGATCAATTTTAAATTGAGCCCTTTGGGGGCAAGAAAATAGACTATATGAATTTCAGGGCCCACATATCTTGGAGATTCTAGATTTCCTAACCAGATATCCTTTTTGATCATCATTCAGACCATACTTGTATCATCTCCTGCCAGGTAGAACCGGCCAAAGCTTGTACTAGGGGCTGGTAAGGCCTTTGAAGATGACTTTCACATAACCACAAAGCTCCAGAATGCAAGACTTTATTCAAAGAACCTTATTTCTGTTGCTAGAGTTTCACTCTAGCTAAATTTGAAAAGACTCATCACCAGGTCTTACAGGTCAAAGGGAGGTATGTTTACACTCAGTAAGAGGGTACTCTCATTCACAAAATGACAGATCCTTGGAGTATTGAAGTAAATACTCCTGGTAGGCCCAATTATCATTCTCTATTATTCACTGATGTAAACAAAATTTCTGCTCCCATCTCCCAGAGCCTTAGTGATAAACACAATTTTAAGCATGTTGAAGTAAGGAAAAAGAAAGAAAAAAAAGAGCAAAGGATATTCTGAACAATTCCAAAGCTAAAGGGAAATTCATCCTCACCCTCCTCTTAATGTCAGTGTTTGCTAATGATGATCTGTGAAAAAATGGTCTACTCTACATTCGATCATGACAGACTGGTCACTTCTCTGTCAGCTTCAACAGGGAGCTAAGACTTATTTCATATTCTTCGTAATGCTGTCTTTATAATAGCTGATCTTTTGTCCATTTGCACCTATCAATGAAATCTTTTTTGACTATTATGTTTAGCTCCCTGTTCCTCATTACAGTTTCACAGAGAGGATGACAAGGCCCCACATTGACACAGGGACAAGGTAGTCTGTGATAGATGCTTTATAGATATTATCTCATTGGATTTCAACCCTGTGAGGGAGGTACTATTGTTATCTCCATTTACCGATGAAGAAACTGAAGTTAAGAGAGAATAAGTGACTTGCCTAGGGTCTCACATTGCTAAGTATCTGAGGCACAATTTGAATTCATGTCTTTCTGACTCCAAGTACCACATTCTATCTATAACACCACCTAGCTGCTGGCAGCCCCTTTGTGGTAACTCATATAATTATACTACAACTTTCCTACTGACGCTGGTCTCTAGAACTACAGTCACACTTTGGGCACCAAAGTATGACATGGTAAGCTCACATTTTGATGGTGCTTCATGATTTTCAAAGCACTTTCCTTCCAACCACCCTCTGAACTAGTAGCAAAATTTTTATTATATACATTTTATTAGTAATAATAATACACAGCCTTTACATAGCACTTTTAAGGTTTGTGAAACACTTTACAAATGTGATCTAATTTTATCCTCACAATAATAACCTTCATTTTACAAATGAATAAGTGCTGATTTTTGTGTGAGTTGACCTCTCCAAGTGACATCTGATTCCCTACTTCATCTTACTGGCTTTATCCCAAACATCCTACTGTAATACATATATTTTACTTTCTTTCCATGCCACTTCTGGCCCTGATTTCAGCCATTCTGTGTTGATGTCTACTATATTCAACTTCAAAATGTTACATTTTATTGACTTTCTCCCCAAATTCTAGGGTTCAGCCCCATATGGAGTGTGAACTGATAACCCTGCTGTGTGACAGCAACAGGAAGCTGGGAGGAACTGTTCTGGTCATGGGAGTGGGGAGGATTATACAAGTTAGGTATCACACATTGGAAGGACATCTGAGAACAAATGTCCAGAAGGCAGCTAGACACCAGACTGAAATAAGGGTGAGAGGTCACTCATACATGTGTCATTGGTAAAAGGCATGTAAATGAAGGCATGAACTCAAATTGGCAAAGACTAAAACATTTATTTTAAAAGAAAACTAAATAAATGACCCAAGTCATTGGTCCTATTGCACCTCTAACTTAGTACAATGGGTGGGAGTTTTGTAAAGAGGCAAATTTAGGCTTGATGTGAGAAGAAAAACTTTTTTTACCAACAGAGGGATGTAGAAGTGGCATGGGCTGCCCCCTTCCATGGAGGGCTTCAAGAGAAGGTTTCATGACATTGGATGGCACAGTGTAGTGGGCATTCTAAGATTCTGCTATTCAACACCCATCTAGACAGAAAAATTCTGATAACAGCAACAAGTGATAGTGACAGTTTTAAAAATTGTTACTCCCAGAGTCCTCTCCTTTCACCTCTATATTTGCACATGTGATTCTCTTCTCTCTCCATCTTTATTTTGATTCTGGTCAGCTTTCTGCAGCAGCCTGGGACCCAGGAGACCAATGAGCAGGCTTCCGATTGGAGCTGTGATCAGAATTGACAAGAATGCAACTGTTAGCACGTCCATTCCATACTTTTCCAGTTGTTCATCCCCATGCGTTCTTGCGGTGTCCAAAGCCACAGATCCTATGGCAGCCTGTGAAATGTTAAAGGTCAGGGGGGATGGGACAACACAATGAATGTGGAAGAAAAAGAAAAAGGAATCATCAATTCTAGTTTTCCCTCTGGAGTTGAGTGGTCTATTGGTATCATGATACTTTATTGGCATCTTTCACTTAAATTTTTATGGCTTAATATGAAAGTGTCAGTATGACATAGAGGACAGGGCTGGATTTAGAATCAGAAAGTTCCACTCAAATCCTGTCTGATATTATCTGTATAAACTTGAATAAATCACTATATCTTTACACCTCAGTTTCTTTATTTGTAAAGCAAAGAGATTAGACTAGATGACCTCAGAGGTCCCTTCCAGTGCTAGACTCTCTCCAAGCCTCACATTCCTGTTCTCTAAAATATGGATAAAGCCTTTTGTACCTCCCCTTAAATCGTGACCTCTTCTGCCATTCTTTGTGTCCCCCATTTTGCAGTTCCTGGTGCATAGTAGGTGCTTAATAAATGCTTACTGCCTGCCTGACTACCTGGCTCAAAGAGTTGTTATGAGGCTTAAATGAAGATGCAAGTAGAGTGTCCAGCGTGGGTTGAGTATTCAAGTGCAGATGTCCAGAAGGCAGCTTGAATGCACAACATGTCTGTTACTCTTATAATTAAGAATAACAAGAATGCAAACCCAATCACATGGAACCCAAGAAGCAAAAAACAACAGATTTAGTATATTTTTCAAAAGGATACTTAGTGTAATTATAAAACTTTGCTGCATCAAACAGACAAGACAGCAATACAAAGCAAGAATAGTAAATTATTTCTCTATACTTTACAATTTGTAATAAATGATAGCTTATGATTTTCTAATTCTAATTTTTAATTCTGAAATTTTTACCAAATGCATAAACATGATTTTTTTTTTATCACTGGACCATCCGGATCATAAATTTTGACCAAATGAAGATGATTTTTGTTAGGACAATTAGCATGACTATAATTTAATAATAATAATATATATATATCCTTGACCTAGGAAAGCATTCTCACATTTTCTTCTATATTCTTCTCTGTTGCACATAAACTCTGGTCAGGATTCATGTATCAATCATTTGATCAACAACCATTTATTAAATATACTATATGCCAGACACAAAATATAGTAGGGAGGGGCAGCAAGGTGGCACAGTGGATAGAGCACCGGCCCTGAAGTCAGGAGGACCTGAGTTTAGATCTGGCCTTAGACCAAACACTTGACATGTATTAGCTGTGTGACCCTGGGCAAGTCACTTAACCCCAATTGCCTTAAAAAACAAAAAAACCCCCCCAAAATATAGTAGGTGCCAGAGATACAAAGACCAAAGTGAGACAGTTCCTGCCTTCATTGAGCTTACATTCTACTGCAGTCATCAACTCATTCTAACCCAGTGACTGAGCTAAAGACCTATGAACAATACTTTTTTTTTTTATTCCTGGCTTTGGAGCTTTCTAAATGGAGGGTCTTTACTGTTCTTCTGAGTGATTTAAAGGAGATCTTGTCTCAAGATAGGGAGAAATTAGTTGTTGTTACATTGTTTCAGACTCTTTGTGACCCCATAGGCAAAGATACTGGAGCGGTTTGCCATTTCCTTCTCCAGCCTATTTGACAGATGAGGAAACTCAGGCAAACAGGGGTAAGTGACTTGCCCAGTGTCACACAGCTAGTGAATGCCTGAGGCTAGATTTGAACTCAGGAAGATGAGTCTTCCTGACTCTAGGCCACCCTATGCACTATGCACTATGGCCAGCCACCTTAGTTGCTCTAGGGGAAGATACTCTAGGTGATAACTGAAGGAAACTTCTGCTTTTCAAAGTTTAGCTCTGACAGCAATCCTCAACAGGTGGCCTTTTTTCTTATTCTATGTTGGAGTTCTTAACCTTTTTTTAGTTCATGTATGCCTTTGGCAGTCCATGAGACTAACAACCTTCTTCTCAGAATAATGTTTTTAAATACCTAAAATAAAATATATAAGGTTAATATAATTCTGAAAATAGTCTTTAAAAATTCATGAACACCAGATTCACAGTGGCAGTGTGGGAATGAATGTTATTTCTAGGGAAGTCCTGGAAATCTTTGTTGGAAAAAAAAAAGAAATGGAAACAAAGTCTGTCATTTGCCGACTGCTCATGTTAAAAATGAAATTTTAAGCTGTGTGACCCTGGGCAAATCACTTAACCCCAACTGCCTCGCCAAAAAGCAAAAACAAAAAGAAAATGAAATTTTAAGTGGCTATGCAATAACTAATATTGATAAACTTAACCCTTCCCAGCAATACAAGGATCTAAGACATCTCCAAAGGCTTCATGATGGAAAATGCTATCCACATCCAAAGAAAGAACTATGGAGTTTGAATGCAGATCGAAGCATACTATTTGCTATTTTTTTTTCTTCTGTTGAGTTTTGTTTTCTCTTTCTGGTGGTTCCTCCTATTGGTTCTAATTCTTACTTACAACATCACTAATGTGAAAATATGTTTAATAGGAACTGTATATGTATAGCCTATATCAGATTGTGCACTGTCTTGGGGAGGGTGGAGGGGAGGAAAGGGGAGAAAAATTTTAAACTCAAAAGCATATGGAAGTGATTGTTGATAAATCAAAATTAATTAATTAATTAAAAAATAAAGTATTATCACATTAAAAAAAAAGACTACATACAAATTACAAAGTACATGGTCATCCTTGTCATCCTTACCTGGACTGTGGCTTTAGGAAGCCAGGCAAAAGAAATGAATATTTTTTCCTTTATGTTAAAACCAGCAAAGGACACCATTAAGAATGTGGTAACAATCCTTATCAACACAGCAATGCCCAAGGTGGCCACACATAGCCCTACAATACGAACAAAGTAATTATTTAGAAATTGTAAGCCAGAGAGTACTTGGAAAGAACTTACCTTTCATGGTTAGTAATTGAATTAAAGAACAAAAAAAATTATTTGATGATTAGATGAAATGGAATTAAAAAAATTGATTTGTAAGAAATAAATGGTTTAAAGTTGTAATTTCCGCCTAAACGAAAATCTTCAGTTATCATTAATTAGTACAAATTTTTACATTTCTTATATTTTTACATTAAAGACTATATTTTCTTGTATTGATAACCATAATCAAAGAACTGGATCTTATTAAAATAACAAAAGATGAACCTTCCTCAGACAAGTGTAGACAGAATCCTAATTTGAGACTATTAATTATTCTTCCATTCTCAGTAACAGATACAACATTAAAATCTAGGACAAGAAGAATGTTTCCATCTTTTTGACCTCATAGATTCCTGGGCAATATGAGAACAATAACATGAATAAAAATAAATATTAATAAAATATATTGCCCTTCATCTATGGAGATGACCCTCTTGACCCACTGTTAATACAGTGTGTACTATGAATCATTTTTCCAGTAATGGTGATAAATTGCACTGAGTCAGCTATAAATATAGTGTTCCTGTTCCCTTTTGTTACTAAAAGCCACATTTGTCATATAGACAGACAGGCAGAGGGTTTTACACTTCATGGAACAGATCTATTCAGAGCTGTCTTTAGGGTATGACAAACACAGATAACTGCCCCAAGCCCAAACCATTTTGAAGACAAATCTAGTAGAATAGCACAATGAGGAGGAAGAGGTATCTATGGCAATTACCACTAAAAAAAGATCCTAAATTAACTAATAGCTAAAAAAAAAATCCTAAAGTAACTAGTTTATTTTATAATGATCACTATTAGCACACAAATACTATCATACCTCTCATCCCAAAATATAATCACCTCAGTTATGTTTGTTCAGTTCCTACTTTTACCGTTGTTCTCATAGACATATTATATCATTTGCTCTGATGCCTAGCACTCCCCAGAAATGGCACTGCTATTTTCTCTGTGCCACAGACCTAAGCCACGTGGCTAGTTAGCTAAAAATGTCAACTATCAGAATGTGCCATCTTGGGGTGGGGGGTGGGGAGAGAGAAAATTTGGAACTCAAAATCTTGTGGAAGTGAATGTTGAAAACTAAAAATAAATTAATTTAAAAAAAAAAAGAATGCGAGGAGGAAAAAATGTTAACTAAAGCCAGGTCATCCTTATCTCTAAAATAAGAAGGCCGGAATATACCATGTCTAAATTATTTTTCATCCTATAATTTCTTGATTCTACATATGAGCCACTGTAAAACAAAACAAAACAAAAAAACAAAAATCAATTTTGGCAAGGCTAACTATCTTTAAAATGCATGTCCGAGGTAACAAACAAATATATGACCACCAATGAAAAAACCAATTAAATCTGTCTTGTGATAGTATTTCGTAGTATCTTCATATATGTGTGTGGGGGGGGTTCCTTATTGGGAAAAAGCCATAAAATACAGTAATAAGTGAAAAACCATAAAAACTTAAGCTCTGGGAAAGGTGGAACCTCAGACATGGTGACCTGTTAGAAATCATAACTTAGACACTAAATCATAACTTAGACACCAAGTCAGAACTTAAGATACTATGACCTATGAAAGCCATAACAAGAATATTGTGACTTATATGTGACCAGGACATGATCAATACACAAACTTACGTCTGGGCATAACGTTGGCTTAACTCCCAAGCTCATTACTTAGCAACAAACCCCCTGTAAGGGCTGCATGTATTCAAATCTGTACTATTTGAAGTTATAATTATGTAAGATATGGTTGTTAATTCCAGACCAATGAAAATATGCAGGGACTCCCAGGTGAGGAAACTCCCCCTACCAATGCAGGTCGAAGCCTTCTGATACTCTAAGAGAGCAGCTTAGAACATTAAGAGGTTATCTGCCTAGGGGTACATATCCAAGTATATATCAAAAGCAGGCCTTGAACTTGGGTCTTCTTGGTGTTAAGGCCAACTCTTTATCTACTATGCTACCTTGTTTCATATTATCTAGAAAAAAAAGTATTTCCACAAACTTTTGGTATTGAGACACTTACCAACGGTTTCTGGTCTAAGGGATGTAATAGATACTTCTGCTCCAATCAATCCAAAAAGAAGAGGTTGGAAAATGTCCCATGAAATCGCAATGATCTTTTCCACATCTGCCTATACGGGAAATAATATTTATAGAAGCACAGAAAAAATTAATTGAGGCTTTATTAATTTGAAATATGAATTAATTTGATCAGGGCTGGCCTTTCTCTTTGTGCTACCTGTGAAGAAATAGTGCAGGCCTTGGAGTCAGGAAGAACTGGCTTCAAAGCCTACCTTTTACATTTACTTGCTGTATGAACCTGGGCAAATTACTTAACTTTTCCTATGTTTCACGGAAGTCTTTAAAGACTATGAGTCTTACATCTCCAAAAGTCTCATGATAGAAAATGCTATCCACATCCAGAGGAAGAACTGTGGAATCTAAATACAGATTGAAGACTACTATTTGCTCTTTTTTTTCTTCTATTTTGTTTTATTTCTTCTTTCTTGTGGCTCCTCCTATTGGTTCTAATTCTTCTTTACAACATGAGTAATGTGAAAACATGTTTAATAGGAATGTATATGTATAGCCTATATCAGATTGCACACTGTTAGGGGCAGCTAGGTGGTGCAGTGGATAGAGCCCTGGCCCTGGAGTCAGGAGGACCTGAGTTCAAATCTAGCCTCAGCCACACAACACTAGCTGTGTGACCCTGGGCAAGTCACTTAACCCCATTGCCTAGCCAAAAAACAAAAAACAAAAAAGCACACACACAGATTGCCCACTGTCTTCGGGAAAGAGGGAGAGAAAATTTAAAACTCAATATCTTATGGAAGTAAATGTTGAAAACTAAAAATAAATAAATAAAATTTTTAAAAAAGATTATGAGTCTTAGATGAGTTGTATTCGCCATAGGCAGAGGATATACTTACACTGATGAAATCATAGGTTATTTACATACTAATGTATTGAAGAAGAAAAGCTTTTCTAGATAAATGATGAGTATAGACAAATTTGCATAAGAGAAGTTTAACCTACTTGAAGATAAACTAGTTTAAGAACTTTAACATATTGTTGATTTTCAAATAAATGCTTATAAAAAGATTAGAATCTCCTTATGAAAGTGGGCCCAAACAGGGACTCTACAGGTAATATCTGGTTCCATTCATCAAATAAACATTTGCTGAAGCTTGGTAAAAGACAAAAACTAGTGTCATGCCGAATGGAAGGTCTTTCATGGGATCCTATCTTGGTTCAGTTCTGTTCAACATTTTTTTCAATGACTTGACATGTTAAATTTGTACGTAATACTATCACATGATCATAGATTCAGAGTTGGAATGGACCTCAGAGGCCATTGCAACTGGGTTAAGTGACTTCAACTCCCTCATTTTACAGATGAGGAAGCTAAGGCCCAGAAAGGATTTCTGGTTTCTACTCCTAGCTTTTCTATTAATGGATATTCTAAGTCTAACTGCCTAACAATGGAAGACTCTCATCTACAGTACTCCAAACAGATGGTCATCCAGCGCTGCTCCATTACTTCTAGTGGTGCTAAGCTCACTACTTCATGAGGCAACCCATATTGTTGTTGGATAACTTTAATAATTAGAAAAGTAGATCACTTTAATTTTTTGAAAAATCTCCCACTTCTTCAACTAAAATCCATTCCCTTCTAATTTCTATTCACTGGTCCAGGTTTGGCTAACTGGAGCACACAAGTCTATTTCTTTCTTCCACATAAGAACTCTTCAAATATACAAAAGCAGCTATTATGCTGCCCTTAGATTTTTCTTCTCTAAGCTGAACAACCCTGTTTCCTTCAAGGGTTCCTCTTCTGACATTATCTCTAAACTCTTGGGTTTTTTTTTGTTGCTGTTCTTCTTCAAATGTTTAAATATAATTGTCTTTCCTGACCTTCCTTGCATCGTTATTATTGATGTTGTTAGTTTCTCTATTTGAAATTACTTAGCCATGTACCTGTTGTATCTTCTCAATAGGATGTAAGCTCCTTGAGGGCAGAAGCGGCTGCATTTTGGTCTCGATGCCTAGCATAGCACACTGAACATTTACTATTATAAAGAAGAAATGGAGTTGTGATCAGCCAGTTACTAAGCTCTTTCAGTAGGACCAACTTAAAAAAAAACACCAGAAACATTGGTGGAGGAAATCCCTGAACAACTAGGGTAAGACCTCTATTAACAAAGACTGAAATCACTAATATCTGACTGAAGCTGTAAGCAAAGCAAAAAAAAAAAAGACAAAAAATAACAAAAAACCCCTGAGAAAATCCATCCTCTTACAAAAGTCTAGGAGCAGGCACTGTATTCAATATGCGTTTTTTTCTTTGAAATTAAGCAACAAATTCCTGGGTTTCTCTTTAAAAAATGCAACTATTATTAAAGCATAATAACATTTAATCCTGACAAATAAATACAAAGCATTTACTACTTCATAAAACATTTTCTCCATCTGCTCCTCATGAGAAACGTAATTAATAAAATAAATCATATTGGTACTCTTTATGCCTGGGTATAAATTGTTACTTGTCTTGGGTGTCTGGAAGGCTAGTTGCATGGTTTGTTGTTGTTTTTAAAAGGCCAAGATCTTCTTGCCTTTCATTACTGTGGAAGACACATTTCCCAGTCTCTAAGAGAGTATAGCATTTGGAGCTGGAAGGGGTTTTGGGGAGCATCTAGTTTATCAGTGACTCCCCCACCTCCCCATACATAATAAACAGCAGAGTAAGAATTTAAAACCTACTCCAATAACTCCAAATGCAGTGCTCTTTCCATCACACCAGGTTACTGCCTTTTTTTGCCTCATCAAAAAGGTAATAATCCTGAAATTCTGCTGGAATGATGTCCTGAACAGGGAAAAAAAAGCTTTGCAGAAATACAGATAAAAGTCCAGCAAAAGAACTTGGGCCATTTTTTAGAGATGTTTTAAAATGTTAATGGAGAACAAAAATTTGTAGCTGAAAAAAAAATTCCAGCTGAATTCTGGATCACATAAACTCAGCAATCAGGTAGCGAATTGTGAAAAAGTGATGCTCTATGGCTAGGCCATGGAAGACCACAACCTCTGAAGAATCAAAGTTTGCAACATTATAAAGAAAAAGAATTTTGAAAGACTTTAGAGCTATGATCATTGCAGTGATAAACCACAAGGCAAGAAGCATAATACCCACCTCCTGCCAGAAAGGAGGTGGATTCAAATGCAGAAAGGGACACATCTTTTTGGTCATGGCCAATGTGGGAATTTGTTTGGTTTGACTATGCATATTTGTTATGAGTTTTCTTTTCTTTTTCTTTTTAATTGTTCAATGATGGGAAGGGAGGAGAGTTAGAGGGAGAGAAAAGAAAATGCTTCTTAATTAAAGAATAAATTTAAATTGAATGAACTAAAAAGAATTAAGATTGCAAGTCATCCAATGGGCCACAGAATAGTGGATGGTGAGCATGAGTAGGTTGCAACCGATTGCAAATGAAAAATTGTATAACAGAATAACTAAAAGGGAAAAATGTATGATGATAAGGTAGGTGGGTCAATTTTATGGCAAGAGAGAGAATGATAGATAAACCAAGAGAAAGTCTGTGTGCTCCACTGATTTTTATGCAATATTAAGAGATACAGGGGAGGGACCCCAACAGGTTGGGTACAGGATTTATGGGAGGATATAGACTAGACCACAGGGTGGTCTATTTGAATGTGAGCTCCTTAGGAGTGGAGAATGTCTTGCTTTTCTGTTTGTATCCTTAGTGCTTAGCACATTATAAAGTGCTTAATAAATGCTCCCTCCCTTCCCATATTATCTCATTTAACTTTTACAACAGCACTAACATTTTTGCCATTTTACAAAAGGGGAAATTGAGGCTCAGAGAGGTTGACCTGCCCAGGGTCACACTGCTGGCAAGCGCATGAAGCAGAATGATCCTGGCTAAGTGTGCTAGTGATAGAGTTCTGGACCCAGAGTCAAGAAGACATGAGTTTAAATCCAGCCTTACAGACTTACTAACTGTGTGATCCTGGACAAGTCACTTAACCTCTGTCTGCTCAGCTTCCTCAAGTGTTAAATGGAAATACTTCCTAGGATTATTGTGAGGATCAAATACGATAATACTTGTTAAGTGCTTTGCAAACCTTAAAGCATGACATACATGTTATTATTATTATCCCACATCATTCTCACTAAGTTTAGTGTTCCACTCACAATGTCTTACTGCTGTTGGGGTGACTCTTAGTACTGCTAATCAATCAGTCAGTCAACAAACATTTGTTAAGTACCTACTCTCTGCCAGGTCTTATACTAAGCACCATAGCTATAATGAAAGGCAAAAACAGCCTCTGTTTTCAAGGAGCTCACAATCGGACGGAGGAAACAACATGAAAACAACTATGTAAATACAAGATACCTACAGAACAAACTGGAGATAACTGACGTATGGAAGGCACTGGGCTTAAGGGGAATCAGGAAAGGCTTCCTGTAGAAAGTGGGATTTTAACTGGGACTTGGAACCAGGGAAGCCAGGAGGCAAAGACGCGGAGGAAGAACATTCTGAGCATGGGAGACAGCCAATGAAAATGCTCTCACAGGGTTGCTGTGAGGAAAAAAATCAAATTATATATGCACAGTGCTTCACAAATGTAAAGCAATACAATATTTAATAATGTGATATTTAAATAAATATCAGTTATTATTATTTTTATTGATACTAGGTCTTCCTATCTCACCCAGGCTAGAAATACAGCAGCCATTCATAGGGTTGACACCACACAGTTCATCAAGAGAGCTTTGTCCTGCTGTATTTCTGGCACGGGCTGATTTGCTCCTTCTGAGGCAGCCTACTGGCCCTAGCCCGGTAGCATCCTGGTAGCTCCCACACCATATTGAGTGGGTACCAATTGGCTTAGCTCCCTGCAGCAAAGAATTCCTCAAGCAAACAATAACCTCAGCCTTCCTGGTAGCAGGGATTACAGGCTTGGATTACCATACCATCCTATCATTCTTATTTATAAGATACTGCAAAATTCTAATAGTTTCTTTACTGAGTATCATTTCTTTATTAAACTGGACAGACCCTGATCCTTTCAAACACAAATCTGCTACACACACACACACATATATATATGATTGATATTATATACACATATATGTAACATACATATATATATGTGTGTGTGTGTGTATGTGTGTGTATATATGTGTGTGTGTATATATATACATATATATGTGCATATATATATAGAAGATTTGTGTTTTGTCTGTATATATAGACAAATTTCTCTCTCTCTTTCTCTCTCTCTCTCTCTCTATATATATATATATATACACACACACACACACACACACACACACACACATATATGAGAGAGAGAGAGAGAGAGAGAGAAAACCATCAGGAGACATTTCATTTGTAACATAGAAAGCTTGAGAATAAAATTCACCTTTTCACTAGACCATCCTATGCCAGCAAGAAAAGCCATAACCAGTGTACACAGTCCTCCTGATCCTGGAAAACCAAAAAACGTGCTACTGAAGAGGGCAAACACAGCCAGACCCAAAAGGAGATAAGCTCTCTTCCACTTCAATTTTCCCTGAAAGCAAAGACAATGGGAATGGGAGAGAAGTTGATTCAATTTTTCCTCAAGATAAGTTTTCTATATTAAATATTAAATTTAAAGGTTTTCCATATTAAATTAAATTAAATTAAAGGTTTTCTATATTAAATGTTAATGTAATAAGAGAATATCTGGCTTAACTTTCTTAGTACCATTTACTTAAGATTAACACATCACATAGCTGTTAAAAAGTCTGCAAAACCAAGCTTATCAACTTCAACTCTTGTGTTCATGAACTAGTTTTCTGTTCTACTTGAGACAGATTTCCCCTTCTGCCATCTGTCCGTTGGTCTATAAATCAATATCTTTCCTTATTTGCTCTTTGAAATTCTGTTGTACCCACCTTGCTTTTGTAACCAAAACCTATACATAGCTTAAAACAGATGAACAAGGCTCGCTGGTTTTTTTGTTTGGTTTTGTTTGGTTTTATTCAGTGCTGCCTGTACTCTGAGCATAATAAACTATGGTTTTCACCTATCTCTGCATCACTGATTATAAAATTGGCCACAGTAGCTAACCAACAGATCCTAATATAATTTTTGTCACATTAACTTACAAATTGTTTTTTCCTGGATATACCCAATAGATTACCTGATATTTGCTTTTTCTTCCTTCCCAAAGACAGATCTCACTTTGTAGAAATTCTTTGTGCCTGCTCCTATTACTTTCTTTTATTAAGTTGCCAATGTAACATTTTAGATGAAAGTAAAACCTCCTTTTCCTTAAAATCCCCCTTTCCTTCTTTTGGTTCTTCTTTTCCAAGTTTATGAGCTTCTAAATCTCGGTGCTTTAAGAATAAACTGTTGGCTTCTTGAGTTTCAGGATTATAGGCCTATATATTTTATTTTAGCTTTCAATCACTTAGTTTTCTTATTTTTAGCGATTGTTTTTAGAAATGTTAGAAGTGCACCCCAAGCCCTTAGCATAGTGCCTGGCACAAAGTAAGCACTTAATAAATGCTTATAGTTTGGAGTTTTGCTTATTTTATTATACAAGGTGTCATGGCAATCTTGGTCCAATTTCAAGCTTTAATCACTTTAAATAAACTTAAAATTGAACTAGAGACTTCTGGGACACCGTACACACATAGTTCATAGGACACAGGGATGGCTAAGACCGTCCCTTCTTCTTTTTTAATGCTCTGTAAATTTTATTGTATCTTCTTAGAATTAATGAGTTTAGAGTTCCTAGGTAGAAAAAGTCCAAATTAATTTAAAATTTTTTCTCTTTTAAAAAGGGGCATAGCTTTCTTTTAAAGGAAACATTAGAACTATATCATTTCTCAGTTTTATAACATTATCAGATAAATTTGGTAAGTTAAAGGATTGTCTTGAAATCTATTCTAAACTTTTCATGTATCAAAATATTGCATACATCTAGAATAATGTCTGTTCTCATAGATGTCAACCTCTGAGTAAGGGGATAAGTTCCATATATTTGCGTCTATCTTTATAAAGTAAATACCTGAAAGAAAGAAGACAGCCATGAAATCTTGACTACATGGTTGAGAGCAGTGCATTCATGTTTAGTTACTCTCATTTTTTAAAAACTATTCTAAGATCTTTTGGAATTAGAAATGGAGGATCACAAAGAATTATATTATGTATTGACTTGCTTGCATGTTAGCTCAAAAACAAACAAAAACCCTTGTTCGTCATCAGAAAATGGAGCTCATGGTACCTGTTTTACAATTCAAAATGAAGAGTGAAGTTTGGATAAGTAGTGGAGCAGTTGGACAAGTTTTCAGAACATTAAGTCTTCTAATCACTCCATTTCACAAAAGCACGACCTCATAAGACAAAGAGACATTTCAATAACCCCATTCCCTCCCTCTCTAATTTTGTAAGAGATATTTCACGGATGTTTCTAAAAGTGAACTTTTTTCTTGTCTGAATGCAGTTTCCCAACAAATCCAAAACTTCCTTTGTACCTGATCCCAACTTGGAAAGTACTGAATAAAAAATCCAAGAAGAGATCCAGCTGCCACACCAACTATCACCTCCAGCAATCCTCTGAGAACATTATAAATTGTGGAACCTGTGAAAGTACAAAAAGGAGATAATATTTCAAATAAAAATCTTAATAGTAATAATACAATATATCTCACCTTGGGAGAGGAAAGATACTTTTTATCAAACAAGAAATTATTGGAGGAAAAATGCTATTGTTTGATTACACAAAGGTAAAATAATTTTGCACAAACCTCTCAAATATGTCTAAAATGCAAAGAAATAAGTTGGGAAAATAAATGCAATAATCATGTCCAAGTGTTAATATCTGTAACCCGGAAGGAACTGACTCATATGTACAAAACTAAAATTCGTGCTTTCCAAGGGGGCAGCTGATTAAAAGATAAAGATAACACAAAGTGTTAATAACTACATAAAAAGATGCTATAGGGTAGCTAGGTGGCACAGCAGATAAGAGTGTTGGGCCTAGAGTCAGGAAGACTCATCTTCCTGAGTTCAGATCAGGCCTCAGATATGTGACCCTGGGCAAGTCACCTAATGCTGTTTGCCTCAGTTTCCTTATCTGTAAAATGAGCTGGAGAAGGAAATGGCAAACTACTCCAATATCTTTGCCAAGAAAACCCCAAATGGGGTCATGAAGGGTTGGACACAGCTGAACAACAACAAAAAGATGATCAAATTCCCTGATAATACAAGAAATAAAAATCAAGACAACTTTAAGATTTGACCTTACACTCACTAAAAAGGCAAAAATGACAGCAACAAAAAGTTTTAAATTCAATTGTGTCAAAGTTGTGAGAAAAAAACAAAACAAAACAGGCACTCCCAGTTTCTAGTATAGTGCTCCATTTAATAATGGAAATACTGGGAAAGAATTTTTTACAACCAGTCTCTCTAATAAAGGCCTCATTTCTAAAATATATAGAGAATTAAGACAAATTTATAAGAACACAAGCCATTTCCCAATTGATAAATGGTCAAAGGATATGAACAGACAGTTCTCAGATAAAGAAATTAAAGCCATCTATAGTCATATGAAAAAATGCTCTAAATCGTTATTGATTAGAGAAATGCAAATCAAAACAACTCTGAGGTGCCACATCACACCTATCAGATTGGCCAACATGACAAAACAGGAAAATGATAAATGTTGGAGAAGATGTGGGAAAATTGGAACACTAATACATTGTCAGCGGAGTTGTGAAATGATCCATCCATTTTGGAGAACAATTTGGAACTATGCCCAAAGGGGCTACAAAAATGTGCATACCCTTTGATCCAGCAATAGCACTTCTAGGGCTATATCCCAAAGAGATCATACAAATGGGAAAAGGACCCATATGTACAAAAATATTCATAGCAGCTCTTTTTGTGGTGGCAAAGAATTGGAAATTGAGAGGATGCCCATCAATTGGGGAATGGCTGAGCAAGTTGTGGTATGTGAATGTAATGGAATACTATTGTGCTATAAGAAATGATGAACAGTCTGACTTCAGAAAAACCTGGAAGGACTTGAATGGTCTGATGCTAAGTGAAGTGAGCAGAACCAAGAGGACTTTGTACACAATAACAGCCACGTTATGCAATGACTAAGATTGTTAAACTGAACCCTTCTCAGCATTACGAGGATCTAAGACATCTCCAGAGGCCTCGGGATGGAAAATGCTGTCCACATCCAAAGAAAGAACTATGGAAGTCGAATTGCTATCACTTATTTTTACCTTTTGTTGAGTTTTGTTACACCTTTCTGATGGTTCCTCCTATTGGTTTTAATTTTTACTTACAACTTCACTAATGTGAAAATATGTTTAATGGGTATGTAAAAGTAAAGCCTATTGTGCACCGTCTTGGGGAGAGTAGAGGGGAGAAAAATTTTCAACTCAAAAGCACATGGAAGTGATTGTTGATAAATCAAAATAAATTAATAAAAAAAAAGAAAAAAAATAATGGAAATACTAACTTTTTAACTGAAATTTAATTCAACTGTTGAATACATTTTTGGTGGAACTGGCAAATATTTTGGAAAGCAATGTGGCATTATGTAACAAAGATCATAAAAATGATCATCTCTTTTGAAAAAAAATTTTTTATCCATATAATAAAAAGGAAAAATAACCTATTTACAAAAAAAATCTAGCTGCTTTTTTTTTTGCAATACGAAAAATGGAAATTATGTGACCAATTAGAGTATATTATTGAAATGGTTCTATGAAAATGATAAATGTGAAACATCTGAGGAAATATGAAAAGACCTATATGAAGTGATGCAGAATGAAGCCCATAGAACCAAAATGCCACATACATTAACTACAGCTATTGAGGCAGGGTAGGGGATGACAGGTAGGGGTGGGTGGGTGGGGATAGGGAAGAAACAAGGAAAAATGACTAGGGGAATAAAACTAGGGGAATAGAACTTGAGAAAGACCTAGGAAGGGACAAAGAATAAAAATAGTTTTGTTTGGACTGTTTTAGTTGTTCACTGTTCATTAATTTCATTTGTTTCTTCCTTATTAAAATTTTTTGTTAAGATTATAATCACTACTGGTTTTATACATATATTCACTCATTTGTGTTGATGGTTAAGTTTGTAATTGAAAAATAAAATGGAACAAGGTTCAAATCCCACTTCTGATGCTACTGCCAATATGACCTTGGACAAATCATTTTATTTCCTTCGGTCTCAGTTTCTTCATCTGTAAAATGAGGGGTTTGGCTAACATGGCCTCCAGGGTCCCTTCCAGATTTATGAGCCTATGACCCTATGTATCAAATACCTAATAACTGTGTGTGAAATATATTTTTTGCCCTCCAAAAAGTTGTACATAGCCTGCTCAAGTTAAAAATTTAAATGTCTAGCAAGATAATATATTTTATAAAGGACATAAACTTTATATAATAATACAAAAAATTATAATTAAAGCCAGCCATAAAACATGTAACTTGGAACAATTTTTTCACTATACAAATGTATACATGGATCGAGTAAGCAGATTAAGTGTCTACCTGAGTTTTCAAATGCCCATTTAAGGGTCTGATTTTTAATATTTGACCTGAAAAGGTACACCAGGAATTTAGCAAAAGAAACAACACAGGTTTTATGAATACTAATCTTAGTAAACAATGTAAGGCAGTACAATACAGCAGAATGAGAACTAAGCAGGAAATCAGAAGACCTGAGTTCTAGTCTTCACTAGTTCAGAGCTGGCTATATGACTCTAAGTGTATTACTGAACCTCTCCAGATCTCACATTCCTTATAAGATGAGATGGTTGGATTTGATTATCTCTAAGTTCCTTTTCTCAATCTCAATCAATCATTATATAACCAGGTTCAGGGGAGACTGAATTCTTGCAAGCACTGAGTAGGACCTCAGAGATTAGCTGCATAGACTTCTGTTAATTACAGTCTCATAAGATAGAACAAAAATCCCCTTACTTGGATGGGAAGGACTGCATGCAAAGGAAAAATTCAGCAGGAGAACTTGGTTTCATTTTCACAGGGAAGAAAGACAGTGCCACCAGGGAAATGGCAGATTGTTAACTGGTAGTTAAAGGGACAGAAAGGGAGAGAAAGGAAAGAGAAGAGAGGGGAGGAAAAAGACAGAGAAAGGGGGACTTGAGTTCTCTCTCCACTCAAACTTTCTGAGAAGTGGGTGTATCTGGGACAGACTGGGGTAAGGTCTTCAAAATGACAGAGAAGCGCTTTACCTTTCCCTCACATCTCCCTCTGTCTGCAGTCAGCAAGTATTGACTTTAAGATTTTTCTCTTAAGTTGTTCATAATTTCTGGTTTTCATAGTAACTTAAAAGATGCTTTGCCTGATATAAAACCAATAACCACTCTTAATTTGTTCATGATTAAAATCGTTCTTAATTAGGAACAGGGAGACTGTAAGGGAGAGTCAGTAAATGGTGATTAACAGAGGCAGAGAATAGATGTTTTGTCTGGATTGCTGGGACAGTAGGGAAAGGATTCATCTCTCATTGTTCGGCTAGGAGCTTGAGTTATTAGAGAGAAATCTTAGGGAAAAAAAGAAATATTAGGGAGTTTTGATTTCCTGTTAGTAACTCTCATAAATTCTTAAACAGCAGCATTTAAACCACTGGGGACCACACCCCTTTGTTACTGAGTAAACAAACAAATGGCTAAGCAGATTGATGCTTTTCTCCAAGCAAAGTAGCTTCAGGCAAGTACACTCCCCTGTGTCCATTTTCTTCAGATGAGTCTATTACTGGGGAGAGACAGAATAAGGGCATTGACTAAGGGAAGTTACAGCCCCTGCAACTAAGGTAAAACTTGGGAAATAGCATAAATGCATACATTCCAAAGGTGGAGAGAGATGCAATAGGGACAGTCCTTCACCTCCAGAGTCAACCTTACCAGACAGCACCACCTGCTAGTTACAATTATATGTTCTCTCTAAACTCTACCGTGACTTTTTTTTTAATTCAATTTCATTTTTAATCCCAAGGCCTTACCTTTCTCCACTCTTTCTTCTATTCATTCTGACATGATTTATGATCCCCTACTATTTATTTTATTTTCAAATTTCGGTCATCTTTATCAAGATTTTGTCCTTCAAATAAAGCTTAAGGATTTTACTTGAGAAAACTCTTAGGAGAGAATATCTATAACACGTACATATCTATCTGCTGGTATGAAATAAAATCAGAAAAAATGTGACTTTTCCTCATATGTGAAGTTATGGAATTAATTTAGTAATATACATAGCTTAATGTACAGAAAACAATATTCTGATGCCTTATTGTGGTGAGGTGACCCTGTGTTAATACTGTGCCAGTGAAGTCATGTTAGGTCCTTCCAAGCTGGAAAGGCTTTGAGTATGACCCAGAGCCTGCTTATATAGTGTCTGCTCTAAGGGCAGAGAGGTTTATCAGTTGGCTAATCAATCAATAAGCATTTATTAAGTGCTTACTATGTACCAGCTAAGAGCTAGTAACACAAAGGTAAAAAAAGCAAGAAACCGATTAATCTCAGCCTCTGCTCTTAAGGAGCTCAGTCTAATAGGAGATATAACATGCAAGCAGCTGTGCACAAACAAGATATAGACAGAATGTGTTGGAGATAATTAATTGAGATAAGACATTAGTATTAAGTGGGATCAGGAAAGGCTTCTCATAGGTGATATTTTAGCTGGGACCTGACAGAAGCCAGGAGACAGAGATGAGGAAGGAGTTCCAAGCATGAAGGACAACTAGTGAAAATGCCCAGAATTGGGAGATGAGTGTTTTGTGCAAGGAATGGCAAGTTAACTGAGGTATGGTGAATTTTTTGGTCACAGCAACTCTCAAACATCGAACTTATGATTTCAACAGTATAGGAAGCTTCCAGTGAGGAATTTCCTGCATAAATGCAAATTTGTACCTTCTCTGCAATTTATAATCTAAAAGAGTTGCCTGGTAAACAGAGAAAGCAGGTTACTAGCTCAAGGTCATACAGCCAGTATGTGGTAGAGGTGAGGATAAAGAGGTGAAGAAAAATTATAATAATGATTCTTTTTTTCCTGCTGTGATTGCACTGCTTTTCTATCTATTAAAAAAAAAGGAATTGATTTTGTTTCACTAAAAAAGAAAAAAATTCACTGGTCTATGTTAAAATGAATATACCTAGCTGATAGTGATCACAATATATGAGCTATTATATATGACTTATTATAGAAAAGCAGTGTGACATAATGGACAGAGCCACCTTAAAGCCACAGGTCCTGCCTCTGACTCCTACTGGTTGTGTGATCCTGGGCAAGTCACAACCTCTCAGCGCTCTACATAACCCGCTAAGACTAAGTGGCAGAAAAGATGCCAACCTATATGGGCAGGAGCAATTTTCTTACCAATAAAATCAGAGGCCCAGGGATCCCTATTCCAAACTTAGAATAAATACAAATAAGAAAGGAAATATAGAGTAGTGGATAGAGGATTGGTCTTGGAGTCTAGAAAAACCTGTGTTCCAGCCCCACTCTGATATATACTAGCTGTGTGGCCATGGGCAGATCATTGGATTTCTCAGTGCCATTGTCACTCTTTAAGACTAGGTTTCAGAGGAGATGCTGATCTTGCTTAATAATGGGAATTTCCACAAAAGGAACTCCTCTACATGATGAAATAAATCACAGGCCAAGGGGAAAAGGAAGTGAGACTTGCCCATTAGTTATTTATAAAGCTATAAACTAAGTCCAAAGTAAGTCAATAATACAAAATACAGGATCAAAGACTGGGAATTGTCGAACTCTGAAAGCTCAGGTAATATGTTTCACTTATTTCATTGGAATGTAAAGCCACCTTCTGAGGTAGAGGGCATGACAGTAACCGTACCTTCTCATCACACTCAATGAGCCATAGGGCTAAATTGATTCCTAATTATTAAATCATTAAAAAGAAACTATAAAATGGTATAGTTTGATAAGGTTTCCTAAATATTTGAATGGTCTGGGGTTTTCCTTTGATAACCAGGTAATAATTCTAACAAAAGCTAAATCATAGTAATTTTTTTCTTGGTAATATTTTTTCCTTTTATGTTACAATTAGGACCCAAAGAAGGCCGAAATGAATAGAAAGCTCAAACGCATTTTAGACCTCTGTTTTAAGATAGTCTTGCAAATAATACATTGGGAGGTCTCTCATTAATTTTTTAGTAATATGGTCTAGCCTAGCTAATCCAGGCAAAACCAATGTTCCTCACTGCTCATTTTATACGAGTTATTGCTTACTGGGGAAGGAAACTACTAACACAGTTAATTTTTTTCCCATTTAATAGTAGTTTATTTTTTTCAATTACATGTAAAGATAGTTTTCAACATTCACTTTTAGAAGATTTGGAGTTCCAAATTTTTTTCACTCCCTACTCTCCCCCCCTTCCCAAGATGGCATGCAATATGATATAAGCTATACATGTACAATCATATTAAACATAGTTCTACATTAGTCATGCTGTAACACAGTTAATTTAAATAAAATCTTTTAGGTGCAGAGAGAAAAATGGACGAGATGTCTTCTGGTCCATTCCAGCAACATAATTTTGGAAGCTGGAATTTGATTAAAGTCAAATCAAAGATAAAAGAAGCAATGAACAAATGAATCTTTCTTGTAACAATTTTTCTATAGCTCAAGAGCCAAAGAATACTATGAGTTATTAAGTGCTTACCTGTAGAGAAAGCCATGCCTAAACATGTATTGAAGCCAGTGATGGCTAGAATGTCATCAAAGCTACCAGCAGCCATAAGCAAAGTCGGGACACCTTTTTCAACACCATATCCACCTCCTTGCAAAATAAGCATTGAGGGCACCACAACAGCTGGGGAGACAGCACCTAGAACAAAACTAAGCAGGCAGAATTGCAAGTCTTCATTAAATTTTTTTCTTATGATTTTGAAAGGAAATGATCATATCTTTAGGGACAAAATCCCCTATGTCTATAGAGGCCAAAATAATGACCACTGTGGTCATCTAAAGCTAAGGAAAAAAAATCCCTCAGTACAAGTAAAATAGCTTTTTTATTATACTATATTATTATAATATATGATATATTATATTTTATTAGAGTATATAAAACACTTTATTATTATTAATATTAATAATAAGTAATGAGGAAAAGAAGAAGAATAGCTCTCACTTACATGATACTTTGTAAGGTTTGCAAAGTGCTTTACACATGTTAACTCATTTGATCCTCACAACAACCCTAGGAGGTAGGTCCCATTGATGAGGAGGAAATTGAAATAGAAATTAAGTGACTTTCCCAGGGTCACAGAACTTAATAGCTTTGTGACACTTAATAGTGTCTGAGGCAAGATCTGAACTCAGGTCTTCATAGGAAAGATATAACACCATTCCCAGTCCCTCACCCAGAAAAATGAGTATAAAATGAAGCAACGGTGAGAATTAATAGCTGAGCAGGAAGGGAAGAAATGATAAAATGGCAAAATCACAGCAGTCATAGTAGAGTGTAGGGACAAAGACTCTATTATCTTTTGTACTTTTTTTGTTGTGAAATTTGGCTTATCTTTCCCAACATCTATAGGTTTCATCAATGTGAACATTTCCTCCAGACTACCCATCTGATCCTTCTCAGCCTGTCTGATTCATGGACAAGTCCTCCCACAAAACCTCCGAAGAAGTTCCACTGAGTGTTGGAATGTAAGGTGAGACTAAAATAGAAGGTGTCAACCTGGGATCTTTGAATTTTTTTTAACAGTTTTGATAACTGTCTTTCAATATAATTGGTCTTCTTTGCAATCCTGTGTATTTTATTTTATGCATTTAAAAACATTATTTTGAGGAGGAGTCCGTAAGCTTTACCAGACTGTTGAAGAGGTCCATGACATAAGAAAAGTTAAGAATCCCTGGACTAAAACATCAATTGTCCCCAGTACCTCAAACAGTTTGAATTATTAACTTCTACAATGTAGGCAAAGGGCACTGTAGAGTTTACATTATAAATCAGAAATTAACATGCATATTTTGGTAGGTCTCACCTAGATGTCTATAATTTTTGCTGCTTTAGTGGCAGCAAAATGGAGCAGTGGAAAAGCACTGATAGATCTCTGTTCAGATCTAGCTGCAGATGCTTACTAACTGTACAACTCTGGGAAAGTCACTTAACCTCAGTTTCCTCATCTGTAAAATGGGGATAGTAATAGTACCTACCTCATAGGGTTGTGAGGGAAATAATCAAGTGAAATAATACTTTTAAAGTACTTAGCACAGTGCCTGGCACACAGTAAGCACTACATAAATGTTAGCTTATCATCATTATTATTATTAATATAAAAGGCTAGGGAATGTACATTTGACTCAGATGGAAAGAATACTCTGCAAAATCTTAAAGAGCCACAGATTTAAATGCCAGACATTATTTAAGTTCCAAATGTTCCTGGCTATTTTCACAGGACAAAGAAAAATAAATTACCCTAAGATAAATCCCCATTGCCAAGGTAAATGCATTAAGAAGTGGGCAAGAACAGCAGATGAACATGCCTCAACAAGGCAGGGGCCCATGGATAATCGGAGGCACACAGCCTTCAGCTTCCTCAGGGCCTGAAATAGAAAAAGATACATTTAAATAATCCTTTAATGATGTACAGGCAAAATTAGCTTAAGGGTTGACACTTTAATACCCCATTTTATATCTAGTTTTTGTTTGTTTGCTCTGAGATTTGAGAAGGTCTGGATACCTGCAAGGAACTCTGGCCAAGTAATTGGGACAAGCTTTATTTTTCAGTGTGTGATGTTTAAAAAGTCCGAGAGACATAGTTTCTGGATAGTTAATCATTCTACTAATAATGCTGGCAATATCAATAAAATCAATAAAAGGAATGGTGACATAAGCTCACAGTTTACATGCCTTGGAAGAATGCATGTTCCTCTGATTGGTTAACAGTTAATGAGAGGATGAATACTATAATGAGAGGTGGCCTTATTCCAGCGAGGGTCTTGGGATATGTGACACTGACCACTCGAATCTTGGTCAAAGTAATTTATCAATGTCCATATCACCCGTCTGACAAAAGGGAAAATCACCACATCACACCTATCAGATTGGCCAAAAGGACAAAACAGGAAAATGATAAATGTTGGAGAACATGTGGAAAAATTAGAACACTGATGCATTGTTGGTGGAATTGTGAAATGATTCAACCATTTTGGAGAACAATTTGGAACTATGCCCAAAGGGCTATAAAAATGTGAATACCCTTTGACCCAGCAATAGCACTTCTAGGGCTATATACCAAAGAGATCATACAAATGGGAAAAGGACCCACATGTACAAAAATATTCGTAGTAGCTCTTTTTTGTGGTGGCAAAGAATTGGAAATTGAGAGGATGCCCATCAATTGGGGTATGGCTAAGCAAGTTGTGGTATATGATGTAATGGAATACTATTGTGCTATAAGAAATGACAAACAGGCTGACTTCAGAAAAACCTGGAAAGACTTGTATGGTCTGATGCTGAGTGAAATGAGCAGAACCAAGAGAACATTGTACACAATAACAGCCACATTGTGCAATGACTAATATTGATAAACTTAACCCTTCCCAGCAATACAAGGATCTAAGACATCTCCAGAGGCCTTGCAATGGAAAATGCTATCCACATCCAAAGAAAGAACTATGAAAGTTGAATTGTTATTTTTTTTCCCCTTCTGTTGAGTTTTGTTTCCTCTTTCTGAAGGTTCCTCCTACTGGTTTTAATTGTTACTTACAACACCACTAATGCAAAAATATGTTTAATAGAAATGTAAACATATAGCCTATATCAGATTGTGTGCCATCTTGGGGAAGGTGGTGGGGAGGAAGGGGGAGAAAAATTTTAAACTCAAAAGCATGTGGAAGTGATTATTGATAAATCAAAATAAATTAATAAAATTTTTTTTTAAAAAGGGAGAATCCACATTTTCCCAGATCTATCTGAGTAAACATAATGAGCAGGAATATACCCATTCACCTAAACTTGGAATTTCTTTACTGGTTTTCATTAGGTCTTTAGCTTTCTTGGCTGGGCAAGCCTTTACTCAAGATTTCCCAGACTGGTTGGTTTCTGGATGAGGAAGTAGAAAAGGAGAAAACCTTGGTCCTAATGCAATAATTAATTATTAAATACAAGAGAGAAATAGATATTTCTCTCAAGTGTAGGGACACACTGATCTTGAGGTATTCTCTTCACCTCCACAAAGGGTAGGAATTTTCTAGTAGTACCATACATTGACTGAACTCAACAAATTATTGACGTGACCAAGAGAACACGGCAGAGCTGCTCTCTGACTATATCAACATATCATTGCAGAATTAATGTGGGGGGCCAGAGGATGCAGGGAGTCACCATAAATGGGAAAAACTTTGGTAAAATAGGGTCCTAGACTTTTGTTTTAACTTATCTCATATTAAAGCTAAGCCTACCTGAAATACTCCCATTCAGAGGCAAGTCACATCTACTTTACAAAACTCTGATATTTCATTCTTACTTAGGAACAAAAGTCCTATTCAATTATTAGACATTGTGTTTCTCAACCCCACCTTTGAATCAAGTCCAAGCCCAGCGCGAACCAAAATAATAGAAAGGGCTATGTTTCTGAGAGATGCAGACCATATGTGCTTTATCTGGATTTTGTCACTGATGACAGGAATATTTCTAAGGAGAAACCCAGCAAGCAGCATGCCTTGAAAGAAAAAACAAAAAACAAAACAAGTGTCTCTTAGGTGAATTCATTTTCTAATAAAATTGAGGATATTTTTAATTATTAAAGACATTTGATGATTTAAGTAATGCCCAAAAGCCATTCTTTTTTTTCCTGTTTGATTCAGTGTCTAACACATATTGAACTTTTAATGAATATTGAACTTTTTTTTTAAGAAAAGCATTACAATCTAGTTTGTGGGGCTGATAGGAGAAAAAAGAAAATTTGCAGAATTTTCATTTATGAAATGATGGAATCTCAAAATTGGATGCAATCTCAGTAGCCATCTAGTCTAATGTGTACCCAAAAGGAATTACCCACTATAATGTACTCACACGTGGTCATCCACACTCTGCTTGAAGACCTTCAAAGGAGGGGAATCCACTATGTCCCAAAGCAGTCCATTCCATTTTTGTATAGCTCCAATTACTAGAAGGTGTTTCCTTATGGGATTATAGATCTAGAGGGCTTCAAGATACCATGGAGCGCCTCTTGTCATAGGATCATTGTATTCTGACCTGGAAAGGATCTTTGGGACATTTCCCCGTGTGAAAATTCCCTCTTTTAATGCAGATCAGCAACTCTATAATTTATTTAATCCTAGAGTTGCCTGCAGCAATGAGAGGTAAATGACTTGCTCACGATTACACAACCAGAATTTGTCAGAGAATGGATCTGAGCCCAAGTCTTTCTGATTCCAAGATCAGCTCTCTACCCACTAACCCACCTTTGCAGTACACCAATAGTCACAATGCCTTGTATTCACCCAATCTGCTTCTTTTCTTGGCTCTTAAGTGCAAGAAATCTATGTGGGCTCCCTGGACCAGTAACAATCCAAGAAAAGTTGGAAACATACATTACTTCTCTGTAAATCTTCTCTGAAATGTATAGGAATGGATTAGTATATTTTTCTGTCAAATTCTAATTAATCAAAACCCAAGTTGTCTGAGTGAATGACACAGGAAATGACATTGAGGAGACTTGGTTGTTTTAAAGAAGCCAGAGTACGTTGGACAACTCGTATTTGTGCAACACCTCTGTGATGTATGAATGGAGAAAGTATTTCTTCAGAAGACTGAAAGACCTGGAGAGAGCCAACTGTGAGAAGCAAGCTCTCTAAGTTTTGAATGGCAGACACAGGATTTCCTTAGAGCCACAGACACGTTGAATGGTCGATTGCTTATTCTCCATTATTCTGCAGTCCCTTCCAAGAGGTCCTAACTACAATAGCACTTTGGGATAATCCAGTTTTCTTTCCTTCTTCAATCAAGCAACTGACATAATGCTTAATCTCGGTCTATAAAGAAGAAATGTCAATTCTCGTTTAAGAATTAAGAATACCCCTTCTGGCTGCTGGTCAGAACTATTATTAGCACAGCTATTTCCCCTCCCTAACTCAGCTAATGACTTTCAGTCTGGAAACCCTATTGTCTCTCCTGCCTCCACTCTTTAACATAGAATCTACTCCCTGTCAGAAACTGGCCTGATCAATCCCTTAATATAGAAGCGTCCAGGCTAAAATAAAGAGGAAGCAAAATATCAAGTGCCTTTGTTATTGTTGTTACCTTGTATCTATTTTTAAATCTAATCTAAAATCTAATTTTTTCCATTAATAAGAATTTATTGCCTCTTCTTCCTACTACATTCCTCCTCCTGGGGGAAAGAAAAAGAAAATCCTAGTAACAAAAATTTTCCCAGTTAACCATTTTCTTTCTAATCTTAACAGGATTGATTTGTTTGTGTAAAAACTTTTAATTTTATGTAATCTGTCCTTTTTATCTTCTGCGATTTTTTTCTGTATTTTCATCATGAATTCTTCCCTTAGCCATGGATTTAAAAGGTAGTTTCTTCTTTGATCTTCTAATTTGTTTTCAATGTGGCCTTTTTATGGATAAGTCATGTATCTACTTGTAGTTATCTTGGTATATGGTGTGAGGTGTTAGTCTAAGCCTAATTTCTGCTGGACTACTTTCTAGTTTTCCCATTAGTTTTCTTCAAGTAATGAGTTCTTACTGCGGTAGCTAAAATCTTTGGACTTATCAAACACTAAGGTAAGAAGAAATTAAATTGATTCTGTATCATTTTATAATTGATTCCATTCTGTAATCGATCCTATTCTGTATTACTGCCCCATTTTGTATGATCGCTCAAGCTACGTTTCTTTTGTCTCTTTGCCTATAAGCTAAGTTTACAGGTTCAGTTCTCCTGCTAATCACTGTCCTATTCTTGCCTCAAGGAAGTCTGTTACCCTTGAAAGAGGCAGGTGGACACCAGGGAGTCTGGTCTAGTATCTTTACACCACCAAACTTCAAGGATGTCTGATCTGTCATCCAAAGAAGTCTGGTCCATTATCCCTATATGGACTCAAACAATGAACATTTCTTAGTCACAGAAGTTTGGCTTCCCCTCTGAGTTGGTTAAAAGAAAACATGTTATTCCTCATACTTTCTGCTCCTGAAAAATCCACTGATACCTGTTTGCTGTCTTTGAAGGCCTCTAAGCTGGCTTGGTACAATTGCACCAAATATGTTCATCCTTGCCTATCTTTGTGCAATTAAGGAGGATCTTATTTCCCTCCTAGGAGCCAGGGAGTCTGCTGTCCCTGGTCTCATAAATCAGTCAAGCATTCCTCCAAGACACAGAGGGGCAATTTCTAGTCCTCACATGGGTGCTAGCCTGTTCTTGATGTAACCAATCATTTTGTCCTCACCCAGCCCTGAAACCAATTTTATTGTTTTCCTCACCTATCCAACTCTGTTCTTTGTTCTGTTGTACTTCCCAAAACTATATAAAGGCTAGTAAGCCCTACCTTATGGTCTTTGGTCATTCAGAAAGACCACTGACCTAATTCATTTGTCATTGCTAGCCTAATAAATTGATCACGCTCAGACCACTGTCTCTCAGTTTATCTTTTCAAATGTAACAGGTACTTGGTTCATTTGTTTCTATACCCTGTGTACCTAATTTGTTTTACTGATTGGCCTCTCTATTTTTTAACAAGTACCAAATAATTTTAATGACTATTGCTTTAAAATATAGTCTGAGATCTGGTATTGTTAGGTCTCCTTCCTTCTCACATTTATTCATTATTTCCTTTGAGATTCTTGATCTTTTTTTCTTCCATATGAATTTCATTATTATTTTTTCTAGGATTGTACAGTGATTCCTTGGTAGTCTGACTGGTATAGCACTGGATAAGTGAATTAATTTAGGTTGTGTTGTTATTTTTATTATATTGGTTCAGCTTACCCACTTTTCTCATTATTTAGGTCTGTCCTTTTTACTATAAAGGGCATTTTACAATTGCATTCATATAGTTCCTATCTGTAGACCCCCAAGTATTTTACACATTCTGTAGTTATTTTAAATGGAATTTCCCTTTCTACTTTTACCTGCTGGATTTTGTTGATAACAGAAAAGCTGATGATTTAAAAAGGTTTGTTTTATATTTTGCAAATTTGCTAAAGATATTGTTTTCATTAACTTTAGTTGACTTTCAAGGATTCTCTAAGTAAACCATCTCATCTGCAAAGGGTGATAACTTTGTTTCTTCTCTTCCTAAACTCATTCACTCAGTTATTTTTTCCTGTCTAACTGTATTTCTAACATTATATAAAGTGGACATCTTTGCTTTACCTTCATCTTATTGGGAAAGTCTCTAGTTTTGTCTCCATTATATATAATGCTGGCTCTGGGTTTTAAATAGATACCACTCACCATAGTAAGGAATGGTAAATTATTCCTTTGCATTCTAGCGTTTTTAACAGAAATGGATGCTGTGTGTTGTCAAAAGCTTTTTCTTCAAAAAACAAAACAAAACAAAACAAAACAAGAGGAACAGCCAGGTGGTGCAGTAGATAGAGTACCGGCTCTAAAGTCAGGAGGACCTGAGTTCAAATCCAGCCTCAGACACATGACACTTACTAGCTGTGTGACCCTGGGCAAGTCACTTAATCCCATTGCCTAAAACAACAACAACAAAACAAAAGCTTTTTCTTATGTTTAATATGATTGTACATGTATAGCCCATAGCAGATTGCATGCCGTCTTGGGGAAGGGGGGAGGAAAGGAAGGGAGAAAATTTAGAACTTAAAATCTTATAAAAGTGAATGTTGAAAACTAAAAATTAATTAATTCAAAAATAAAAAATAAATAAAAATAAAATTTAAAAGCTTCTTCTGTGTCTTTTGATATGCCCATATAATTTTAATTATTCTAGTTTTAAATTATTTTCACATCTATTATTCAAGTTTTAAATAATTCTAGTTTTTAATTATTCTAGTTCTAATTTTAAATAAATTCTAGTTGGCCAATTATGTTTCTAACAAATCAATCCTGAATTCTTACTATACACCTAATCTGATCCTCATGTATAATTTTTGTGATTTGTTGCTATAGCCTCTTTGCTAATATTTCCTTAAGAATGTTTGCTTAAATGTTTATTACATATATTTGTCTAGTTTCTTTCCTCTGTTTTGACTTTCCTTGGTTTAGGTATCAATACCATATTTGTATCACCAGAGGAATTGGATATAATTCCTTCTTTTCATGGTTTTGCAAAAAAGTTTGTAAAGTATTAGAATTAATTATTCTTTAAATGTTTGAAAAATTTGCTAATAAGTCCATCTGATCCCAGAGTTTTTTCTTGAGGAGTTTATTTGGCTCGTTTAATTTTTTTTTTTGAGACAGGATAATTTTCATCTCTACTTCTTTTTCTATTAATTTGAGCATTTCATATTTTTGTAAATATTCATCCATTTTATTTGTCAGTTTTATTGCCACACAGTTGGGCAAAATAGTTTCTAATAATTTTCTGTACTTCTCCTTATTTGTTGTAAATCTCTTTTTTCATTTTTAATACTGGTAATTTGGTTTTCCACTTTATTTTTAAAAATTAAGTTAATTAGTTGTTTATTTTTATTGGCTTTTTAGAAACCAGATCCTAGTTTTATTTGTTAATTCAATAGGTTCTTGCTTTCAATTTTGTTATAATCTGTTATCTTTCAGGAGAGATGAAACAATATTCATAACTATTTGATCACAACTATTACATTTTCTGGAAAATGTTTCAAATTCAAAGGGTAAAAATGGCAAAGAGATGAATTTAGGCAAAGATTACAAATTAATGCAAATATCTTTTGAAAGGGCAAATAGGTAGCGCAGTGGACAGAGTGTAAGACCTGGAGTCAGGAAGACTCTTCTTCATGAGTTCAAATCTGGCCTCAGACACTTTCTAGCTATGTGACTGTGGGCAACTCACTTAACCCTGTTTGCCTCAGTCTTTTCATCTGTAAAATGAGCTAGAGAAGAAAATGGCCAACAATTTCAGTATCTTTGCCAAGAAAACCCCAAATGGGGTCATGAATACTCCATGACTGAAAAATAACTTTGAAAGCCATATATATATCTTACTTTAACATCTCATCATTTCACAGAAGTCAGTAAAGCTCAGTGATAGAATAATTTTGCAGATGATCTATAGCAGTCATGTCAAACTTAATAGAAACAGATCCCTACAGGTCACGTATTGACTTAGAAAACCACAAATTACCATTATCTATGTTGTACTGTCTTTTTATCTATTTTGTTAGATATTTCCCAATTATATTTAAAGCTGGTTCAGACCTCATTTGGGAGTGTTGTGGGCTCCGTGTTGGACACTTCTGATCTAAAATCTACAAGATGGGTATAAGTAGACCGTAACATATTGCTATTAATAGCATGCACAGAAGTAGTTAAAAAAAAATACTGCCCACAACTTGGCCAGATAAGGAATGTGTTTTGACCATATCTACTCAATGAGACCCTCTAATAAGTTTTTCTTAACTAAAATCATTTTCAAAATATTACATAACTTGTTATGTATAACAACAGTAAGGTCACAAGATATAAGAGAGGTATGGTTCCACACAGGAACTATGCATATTTATATTCTAACATTCTTCAATCTAAACTACCAAATCTTTAAAATTCACACAGATAAAAAAAAAAGGAAAAGGTTGCACTTACCAAGAAGAGGAGGTAGTGGAGGCAATGTAGGTAGCTTGACAAATCCCAGAAGTTTACCCCCAGTGACAGCACAAAAAAACAGGACTAATATTCCAAATAGGTTTCCACCAGGGAGACATTCATTGCCAGTAACTGACCAAACCACGGCCCATACAAGAACCACCATGGTGACTGTAATAAATCAGGAAAATTAAAATATGTGGCATTCTATCTATAATGATCTCACACTATAAAATATGTATTCCATGATATAAATTTGAAGATAACGTGTTCATTAAATATGGTTTGCAATTTCTTTCCTTTATGTCATATTCTTTACATACCATTTGTTATTATTTGACCAAAGATGCCTCTTGGGGGACAGGCAAATATTTGCCTCAGTTTCCCCCTACTCGATTCTGGTGATGATTCTGGTGATGGCTCATTACTTTTCAGTAGGGCACTTTCTTCCATTGGCTCATTTCCGTCTATACCTTTGAGATCCATGACCGTCCCCTCCTTAGGGCAAAACAATTAAAAGTATGTGAAAATGTGATATATTATATGAAAATATGATTCTTTTTGAAACAGGAAAGTCATTGCAATCAGAAAATAAAATTACTAGCATTGAAATAAATGAAAACTCTATGTTGCAGAGGGGAAAAAATGGCTGGCAGAATCATATGACTTTATGAAGAACTAATACACTGGTATTTGGAAAAGGTTCAATGTTGGAAATATTAGACATTATGCCAAAATTTTCTTAGAATGGAAAGAAATCAGAGCCATGATAAGGTTATAGACGTTAACAAGTGATATGGAAATCTAAGTGATAATAAAAACAAAAGGTATCAGTAAAAGTTTATTTTTAAAAATTCAAGTCACATTCGAGACCCAACAAAAACTATAAAAGGTCTATGAAAAAATGTCATAGCAATGATGGGCATAACTTTTCAAGACTGCTTTCATTGCAAAATCAGATATGCTAATAAAAATGCATCCATCAAAGGATGGACTGCACTGAAATGATTAAGACCGGCACCATCTTTGGTCTGGCTTTGCCTTTATTATGCCACACTCAAATTAAGAGTCAGGAAGACAGAGATTAGTTAAATTGGAGTGATTTGGTATCACGGCTGCTCAGAATTGGATTTAGAGGTTAGAAGGAAATTTGCAGTGCTATCACAGAGGCAAAAAAGTAGTCCATACCTAAAAGAAAGTACTGAAAGATTGCACATTGCATTTTAGATTGTAATTTTTATTTTTCAAAATACTCATTGCTACTTTTTGTTTTTTTACATCACCTTCACTTCCCACAGATCTCCCTCCCTTTCCCATCCCAGAGAACCAGACTCATAACCAAGAATGGAAAAAGGGTGAAAAGAAGTTCAGCAAAACTAAGCAACACAGTGAAAAAAATCTGACATTACATGCATTGTTTCCACACCAATGGTCCCCCACCTCTACAAAGAAAGGAAGCTGTAAGGGGGAGGTAGGTGGTGCAGTAGATAGAACACCAGCTGTAGTGTCAGGAAGACCCGAGTTCAAATTTGCCTCAGACACTTGATACTTACTAGCTATGTGACCCTGGGCAAGTCACTTAACCTCGACTGCTTTGCCAAAAAAAGAAAAAAAAAAGAAAGGAGTCAGTGCTTTCTCACATCTCTTCTTTGGGGCCGATTTTGCTAACTATAATTTCGTAGCATTCAAACCATTCAATCATTTGATTGGTGGTTGTTTTTTTTTTCCCATTTACGCTGTTGTAGTTATTGTCTACATTGGTTTCCTTGTTCTGCTTACTTCACTTTGCATCCATTCTTATGCTTTTCTGTACTCATATTGTTTCTTATGATACAGCAATATTCTATTAATTAAATTAATTAATAAGCAAATTATTCTATTAACTAAATTCTATTACTTTACCATGATTTGATTAGCTATTCCACAATGGATGGATATCAGCTCTCCTTCCATTACTTTGTTTCTATAAAAAGCATTGCTATAAATATCGTGGCGCATGTAGGACCTTTTTTCTCCTCACTGAGCTCTTGGAGCATATATACTATCCATGGGCCAAATGATATAGACAGTTTAGTCATTGCCTTGGCACAATTTCAAATAGCTTTCCAGAATAGCTGGACCATTCACAGCTTTACAGTACTTTAAATGTGTTTCTCTTTCCAAGACCCCAACACTGCCTAGAATGTGACTTCAATATGCCCATTTGACTTTGCACAGCTCTCTCTCACTTAAATCCAATTCACTTGCAAGTCAAGTTCCTGATGTTATGGTCCTCTTTGAGAATGAAGGACAAACACAAATGAACAAATGAATGACTTTTATAAAATACAAATAAAATTACCTCTGTTGTCTTGATTGTGGAAGCAGCAGAATTTACTTCTGGTTCATTACTCTGAATCACATCATCTTCATTTCCCATGGTTTGTAAACTAAGAAAAAAAATAGGATGGGGGGAGGGAGAAAGCAATTTTAAATCGAGATGAGGTAGCATATGAAAATGAAAGTTCTATTTCTCTCCCTTTAAATAAAAGTCCTTTTCTTCCCAGTATTTCCCAGATAAAGCCTTGTAGTCAACATCACACCAACAGTGGCTAAGCCAGGGGAGGGGAACCAGTGGCCTTAAGGTTATATGTGGCCCTCTAGGTCCTCAACTGCGACCCTTTGACTGAATCAAAACTTCACTGAACAAATCCCCATAATGATAATGATAATAATAATAATAATAATAATAATAATAATAACAATCGGGGCAGCTAGGTAGCACAGTGGATAGAGCACTGGCCCTAAAATCAGGAGGACCTGAGTTCAAATCCAGTCTCAGACCAAACACTTGACACTAGCTGTGTGACCCTGGGCAAGTCACTTAACCCCAATTGCCTAAAAATAAAAAAATAATAATCATAGCAATAATAAACCCCCTTTGACCAGAAGGTTTGTTGTCTCTTAATGCTGACTTTATTTACATTGCTGTAATCATTGTGCTTGGACAGGTAGGTGGCATAGTGAATAGAACACTGGGCCTACAGTCAAGAAGAGAGCTTCCTGAGTTCAAATCTGACCTCAGACACTTACTAACTGTTGGACCCTGGGAGCCACTCGATCCTGTTTGCTCAGTTTCCTCATCTGTAAAATAAACTGGAGAAGAAAATGGCAAACCACTCCACAATCTTTGCCAAGAAAACCGCAAATGGGGTCGTGAAGAGCTGGACATGACTGAAACAACTGAACAACACCAATCATTATGTATATTACTCTTTTAGCTCTGCTTTCTTCACGCTACATTATGTAGCTCACCCCAAATTTCTCTGAATTACATTTACCATTTCTCACAATGTAGCAATATTCCATTGCATTCATCTACCCTAGTTTGTTCAGTCATTCCCTCATCTTTGGCATTTATTTTATTTACAGCTTTTTGTTATCACAAATAACATAACAATGAATATTTGTGTACACATGGGCATTTTCTTGTCAATCACCTACTTGGGTTACACAGTCTCAACCAAATGTTGTGAGTAATTTAGTATCTTTTCTTGCATAATTCCAAATTGCTTCCTGGAATCAATCCCATTATTTTACAGGTGAGGAATTCCAGAGAGGTTAACATCTAAGGTCATTTAGGTAGCTAACTCCAAACCCTGGATTGAAAACCAGGTCATTTAAATCCAAATTTAGTACTCTTTCCATATCATACTGCCTCCTTACTAAAACTTTCTACCATTAGTCCCATTAATCCTCTTTTCATGATTGGTCTTCATCATCCTTTATATCACTGAGATTTTGGCCAACCTTTATTTTCTTCTTGACAAAGACCTTGTTGCCTGGATTAAAATGTTGATGGGATTTTTCTTTCTTTTTTTTTTTTTTATTTTAGATTCAAACACTGAAACTCAAATACACAATAGGGGTAAGAAAAAGAAATATATCATAAACTTAAATACAAAGTAAGAAAAGAAAAGCATGTCATGTGCATAGCAGAACATAAGAGAGGATTCAAAATATATAGCAATAAATTTTATTTCAAGAAAGTTCATATGATAAATACTTCACATTGTGTTGAGAAATGCTTTTCTTTGCTTCCTTATAAGTTTTCTTTTAAGTGTGAATATATTTCTATATAGATACAGATATATACAGACATATACTTACATATATGCATATATATATAGAATACACTTTCCTTAACAAATTCTACTCCTGATCTTTGTTTTTATTATTTGTGCATGTTTCTTATTTCCTATCCCTCCTGACTCCCTTACTTCCACCCTCTACCTTGTCCTCCTATTACTAACCCTTTCTCTCCTCCAAGGATCCCTCCCTTATCCTCCCGTTCCCATAAATCTAAACAACCTTCTATGCCCCCCTTTAACTTATCCCCTCTATAGATTCTTTCCCTTATCCTCTCCCCTCAACATTTTATTTCTTTCTAAATTTAGAAGACTTTTATATTCTTCTGGATATATATGTATTGTTCCCTCTTGAACCCATTCCCAGTGAAAGGTTACCAAAACTAACAGCCCTCCTCCCCCATCTAATGCCTCTGTATCAATTCTTCCTCTAGTATCTCATTTGTATAAGATAATTATTATTTTTAGCTGTTCCTAAACAGTTTTACTATCTGAAGTCATATCATACTGAGGTCTACCCCAATTTTTCTTACAAACTACCCAATTACTAATAACAATCTTAGACATACGTTTTACATTTTACATATATGAAAGATAAACAGTCTGTCCTTATTTAATCCCTTGTAATTAATCTTTGGTAAGTACCTTATATTTCTCTTGGCTCTTATATGTCAAATCTTCTATTAAGTTCAGTGTTTTTTTTTAAACAAAGTCCTGAAAGTCTAAATGTCCATTTTTTTTCATTCAGGATTATGCTTAGCTTTGCTGGATATGACATTTTTGGCCAGAACCCCAGTTCTTTTGCTCTTCGATATATAGTGTTCCAAGACCTATGGTCCTTTACTGTTGCTGCTGTTAGGTCTTGTGTAATTCTAATTGTGGCACCACTATATTTAAATTGGGTTTGTTTGGGGTTTTTTGGATTTTTTTTTTTACTGAATCTGCCAAAAGCATTTAGGTCGAATTTTCTATCTTCTTCAAATTGCCAACCTATGCTTGTAACTTTCTAGCATAGCCTAGTTTAGACCTTCTCAAGGGATAATGAGGAGTAAGTTAGTAGAGAAATGATTATGGCCTTCATCAATTTTGGATAAAACAGTAATAATAGCTCCCTGGATACTGTACAGCAACTAGGTGGCACAGTGGTTAAAGCACCAGGCCTGGAGTCAGAGTTCAAATCTGGCCTCAGACACTTACTAGTTGTATGACCCTGGGCAAGTCACTTAACCCCATTTCCCTCAGTTTCCTCATCTGTAAAATGAATTGGAGAAGGAAAGTGGCAAACCATTCCAGTATCTTTGCCAAGAAAATCCAAAATGGGGCAAAAAAGAGTTGGATGTGACTGAAATGACTGAACAACAACAGCGTGGACACTGTGCAGTTACAAAATGCTCTCTTCACAACAGTTCTGTTAAGCAGGTAGTGTGTAGACTAGGAATCAATGAACTTACTCTCTCTGACTGATGGGGATGTGATCTGAACCCCTAAAAGGAAAAGACCATGTCTTTGGGATCTGGACCCCAAAAAGTAAAAACCCTGGATTTTCCCACCTCGCCAAATCTCTGGTGGCCACCTGAGGCTATAAGTCTATCAACTGGCCTTTCATTGTGGCTATCTATACTCAATCTCCCAATTCTGTTCCATTATGTCCCAGTTGCCCTTGGACACTTCCTACCCTTAATCCTATCTAGACTCCATTCTCCCTTGGCCAAGTCCCTGGTTTTTTGTTCACCCCAGCTTACTGACCACTCCCATCCAGATCCTCCTTAGACCCCTCCTCCAGTTACCCCAAACTACTTGGCCACTCCTAGATCCCTTCCACAATCTTTCTGTGTATAAGGTCCATCTTGTCTCCATTAAGGTGCTCAGGTTCTTAAAATCTAGCCACTGCCCAGATTCTTTAAGAACCTAGCCAATAGGCCCCAGAAAAAACCCTGGAACAGCTGAACCAGAAGAAAGATGGGGTGCAGTAATCTGGTAGCCCAGATAGCTTGAGGGATTAACGGAAAAGGCCCCTCTTGCCCTGGGGTAAGGGGAGCAGTACAGAATGGGAGGTGTCACAGTGAGCTAGCAGAAAGCCCCATCTCAGCATACCGGGAGGAGATCCTAAAACCCAGGTGATGGAAGCAAGCAAACACCAACACCTGGACCTCTGAGTGCCTCAATGAGGGCAGGGGAACTGGTGGAAACCACCTTGGAAAACCACCAGGTGCCCCAGCATTCTACACCAACTGGCTCTCCCAGTGCTCAGCAAAATTAAGGGAAATAGCACTCCAAGGGGCCCCAGGTGGATAAACATCCTGCAACGACCATCTGAAAGGAGCTGAAGAAAGTAAAAGGAAGGAAAGGCCAGGGTAAGCAGGAAATTTCCAGGAGCCACACTACCCAATCTTACCCCTAAGGGAAGCAGCACTACAAAGGTCCCCAGGCAGATAAGCACTCTGCAACATCCATCTGAAAGGAGCTGAAGAAAGTGAAAAGAAAGGAAAAGCAGTCAACCTGAGTTGCCCTAGAATTCCAGCCAGCCCAACACCAGGTAAGCTGCCAGAATCCTACAGTCTCCAACTGCCAACATCAGAGGCCCCAGTGCACAATGCCAGTGACCAGGCCCTAGGCTCTCGATACAAGAAGCCTGGGTCAGTGCCCTCTGCTCCCAGCAGGAGAGATCAGTCTCTTTAAAGGACAGGAAATAAGCAAACACCATGAGCAAAAAGAAACACACAATAGATTCTTATTGTGAGAAGAGTGACGATCAAGGCAGAAATTCTGAAGAGAACAACATTGTCAACAAACCCACATCTGGAACCTCAAAAGGGAATATGATCTGATCTGAAGCCCAAAAAGCCTTCTTAGAAGAGCTGAAGAAGGATTTTAAAAGTCAAATGAGAGAGGTAGAAGAAAAAATGGGGGAAAAAATAAGAGGTATGCAAGAGAGAATTAATAGCTCGGAAAAGAAAGGGCAAAAATTAACAGCAGAAACAAGCTCCTTAAAAAATACAGTTGGCCAACTGGAAAAAAAATTACACTGAAGAAAACAAGTCCCTAAAAAATACAATTGGCCAAGTGGGGAAGGAGGTACAAAATCTAATAGAATAAAACAACTTGTTAAAAATTAGAATTAGGCAAATGGAAGCTAATGACTCTATGAGAACAAGAATCAGTCAAACAAAAGCAAAAGAACGAAAAAATAGATGAAAATGTAAAATACCTCATTGGTAAAACAACTGACCTGGAAAATCGATCCAGGAGAGACAATTTAAAAATTATTGGTCTACCTGAAAATCATGATGAAAAAAAAAAAG